GATCTCAGCTCACTGCGACCTCTGCCTCCCAGGTTCAAGTGATTCTCCTGCCTCAGCCTCCTGAGTAGCTGGGACTACAGGTGTGTGCCACCACACCCAGCTAATTTTTTTGTATATTTAGTAGAGACGGAGTTTCGCCATATTGTCCAGGCTGGTCTTGAATTCCTGACCTCAGGAGGTGATTCGCCCGCCTTGGCCTCCCAAACTGCTGGGATTACAGGCGTGAGCCGCCCAGCCTGGCGCTGTGTTTAATTTTCGAGGACCTGCCGGACTGTCTTGCGCAGCAGCGCTGTTCTGCACTCCCACCGCAACGTGCCAGGGCTCCGGTCTTTCCCGCGTGGAAGCCGTCGTGTTATGTGCCTGCTCCTCCCCGTGTGGAGGCTGCCACGTCATTCTCTGTGTCTTTGACAGCAAGCCATCCTAAGGCGCACGGGGCGGTGTCCTGGAGCTTTCGTTGCATGTCCCTCCCTGGCCCTGTCACTGAACTTTCAAATCCTGGGCCTGGTTGTTGAGAGGACGCCTGGCCCGTGGTGGGGCAAACGGGAGCGTGCGGCCCCCAGGCTGGAGCTGTCGGTGCAGCCTCCGGCACAGGCACTGTCCCCATGACAGCATCCCGCCCCCAGGTTCTACGCGGCCGAGATCTGCATCGCCCTCAACTTCCTGCACGAGAGGGGGATCATCTACCGGGACCTGAAGCTGGACAACGTCCTCCTGGACGCGGACGGGCACATCAAGCTCACGGACTACGGCATGTGCAAGGTGCGTGCCTCGGGCCGCCCGCCCCGACCATCCCGCGTGTGCTTCTCAGGGCGCCTGTCCTGCGGGGTGGTGTCTACAAGAACCCTCTTGTGATAACTCTGCCCCCACAGGAAGGCCTGGGCCCTGGCGACACAACAAGCACTTTCTGCGGAACCCCGAACTACATCGCCCCCGAAATCCTGCGGGGAGAGGAGTACGGTGAGTGCCGCGGCCGTCCCCTCTCGGAGCACACGGGGCCAGAGACGGCCTCGCGCCTCGCCCAGCGGCCGGGGAGAGGTTTCGCTGACCATCTTCCACCCAAAAGCCACACTCTCTTTCGCAGCCGGATGTCATCATCTGGTCTCAGCCCCTTATTTGAATTCTTGAAAACCTCCCGTGTCCACTTGAGCGGCCCCTTGGGGAGGGCACCGCACCGGATTCCTCCTGCCAAGGAGCCCCAGGGGCGCAGGGAGGGGAAAGACACAGAAAGCGGGGGTGGGACAGGGTGCGGCACCTGAGTCCCCGTGCTGCCCACGTGGCTGGGGAGAAGCAGGTGTCTGGGAGCACCAGGGGGTGCAGGAGCGTGTGGAGAGGACCCCACCGCCTCTGCGGCTGAGGGCGCCACGCACACCGGAGTGTTTCTGCTCCTCTCCCCTCTCTGGGAGTGAAACATGGACATGGTGGGCATGCGTGTGCAGCCCTGTGTGCGTGTGTGCTGGTGTGTTGTGCTGAGTGTTTATGTTTTGGGCATCCGTGTGTGTTGTGTGCACACACATACTGTGTTTGTACACACCCCATCCACTTTTGCATCCTGGTGTTTTGTTTGCTTTTTTTTTGAGACAGAGTCTCACTCAGTCGCCCAGGCTGGAGTGCAGTGGTGCGGTCTCGGCTCACTGCAAGCTCCGCCTCCTGGGTTCACGCCATTCTCCTGCCTTAGCCTCCCGAGTAGCTGGGA